CCTCTACTCTCCCAAAGACCTATCTACCTCAGCATCTATATGACCTCAACCAAGTCCCAGGAACTTTGAGAATATGGAAGGCTGGCCACAACTCACAGCTTTAATAAATGCAAGTTATTGGCCATATCAATAGTCTTGGTTGAGTGAGCTCAGAAATGCTATAAGAAAGGGAGTCCTGAGGAGGGATCCCATAAAGCAGAGAATGGCATTACTGCACTGGCAAAGAGACCACTGAAGCTGACTTAATACCTGAGACAGCAGAGGAATAGGCACTGGGTGAGGGTGAGGAAGGCTGAGCATCCCCCACTCACTGTTCCCAGATCTGATCATACCCTTGCAAAATTCTTAACATGATCTGGTACTATCTGATCTCTGCCCATCTGTCCATCCTCATCTTATGCTACTCTCCCTTGATGATTTAGTCCCTGTGACATGGCCTTCTTTCAATTTCTTGAATATTTCAGGGTTTAACCTACATTGGAACTATTCTTGATGTGGAACATGCCCTTCCCCACACTCTACTCTTTGCCTGGCTAGCTTTTTCTCATCCTTTGTTCTCAACTTAAGCGTTACTTTCTCAGAAAACCTTAACTCTCCAGCCTAAAATTAGGTTTCTCTCTTACACTTTCTTCATAGCACTTGTGGTGGACTTATGTTAACTTTTATCTGCCCTCTTCATTCCCTCCTTTAGAAAGCCACCATTTTAAACCAGTTATATTGGGAATATGTTGCCATACTTGCCTCCCTTAGCCACTGGGATGGGCACATGACACAGAGGTGACTAATCATAGTATTCCCTTGGGATTGATACATAGCAGTTGGGAGAGAAAGGAGGTCTCTTTTTGCAGGAATTGGGAAGCTACGAATCTGCCATCATCTCCCTAACTCCCCATGCAGAGAGTCTGGCTATAGAAGGAGGCTGAGAGGATAAGTAAAGCTGAGAAATGGAGAGTACAATTGAGTCCTGGGTCTAGTGGACTTCCCAGTTACAGGAGCTAAAACATTATCTCTTCCCCCCCTCCTTTTTTTGAGATGGAGTCTTGGTCTGTCACCCAGGCTGGAGAGCAGTGGGGGGCTATCTTGGCTCACTCTAACCTCCGCCTTGTGGGTTCAAGCAATTCTCCTGCTTCAGCCTCCCAAGTAGCTGGGACTACAGGTGCCAACCACCACACCTGGCTAATTTTTGTATTTTTAGTAGAGATGGGCTTTCACCATGTTGACCAGGCTGATATCAAACCAGGCTTACCTCAAGTATCCACCCACCTCAGCCTCCCAAAGTGCTGGGATTACAGGCGTGAGCCACTGTGCCCAACCAATTCTATTTATTAAAGCTAGTTTGATTGTGATTTTATCACTTGCAATAACAGAAGTCCTAACTCAAGTAAAACTTATCACAATTTTAACAGCTTTATTGAGATATAATTCACATACCATACAGTTCCTTTACACAATTTTTAATTAATATTTGTCTAAGTATTTGTTTAATGTCTCTTTCCCCGTTAGTCCCATGACAGTAAGGATTGCAGCTGTTTGTTCATCATTCATTATATCCTAAGTGCCAGGGCAAAACTTGGCTTAGTGTGCTCAATAAATGTTTTTCACTGAATAAGTAAAATGTATTAATGAATATCTACCCTGTGCTGGGTTCTTGGGATCATGAAACAAATCAGACACAATCCATGCTCTCAAAGCCTAGAAGGAGAGATAAACATGTAAATAGGCAAGTTCTGGTGATCAGTAGCAGAAAGCTCAGGGAGTTGAGTTGGGCAAAGATGGGTTACCTTGACCTGCCAAAATCTAACCAATTCATTAAGGTCTTCTTCAAGTGCCTTCCTAAAAACAGTGCACTAAGATTTAATCTCATGTGTTCTATCTGTGTTCCTCATCAAGATTTATACTGATTTTACCACTTGCTAATAGTATAAGCTTGAGCAAGTTATTTATTCTCTCTGAACTTTATTTTTGAGAATATTGGACATGCTCTATAATATCTACCTTAAGGTTTATAAAGAGACTTATGTGAGATAACTAATACTAAACATTTCACATAGTGCCTTGTTCAATATATATCAACTATGATTACCACATTTGCTGTTTAGTAAAGTTAAGTGGTTAGGAACACAGGCTCTGGGAGCCAGACTACTGCCTGGGTTGAAATCCTGGTTCTACCCTCTTACTAACTGTGTGACTTTGGCAAGTGTACTCAACTTCTCCGTGCCTCACTTTTCTCATCTGTTAAACACACACACACACACACACACACACACACACACACACACACAAAATGTGGAGATAAGGAAAGCACACATCTTGAAGGATTTTAGGGGGATTAAATTAGATGCATAATACTTTAAAACACTTAGAATAAATAGTGCCTGACACAGGGTAAGCAGCTAATAAATGTTTAACCAATTCACCTTTTAAAAATCTTAGAATGGTCATGTATGGTGGCTCATGCTTATAATCCCAGCACTTTGGAAGGCCGAGGCAGGTGGATCACCTGAGGTCAGGAGTTCGAGACCAGCTGGGCCAACATGATGAAACCCCATCTCTACTGAAAATACAAAAAATTAGCTGGGCATGTTGGTGGGCACCTGTAATCCCAGTTACTCAGACTCCCAGGAGGCTGAGTCAGGAGAATCGCTTGAACCCTGGAGGCGGAGGTTGCAGTGAGATGAGATCACCCAACCTTACCCTGGACCCCAGCACTCCAGCCTGGGCGACAAGAGTGAAACTCCATCTCAAAAAAAAAATCTTAGTGAGAAGGGCTTGGTATGCTGGCTATATTTTTTCTAATACATATCCAAATATGTATTAGAAAATAAATACAGAAAATCATCCTGCACAATTCCAGTGGCATGAGCTCCCCACCTTGGGCAACATTACTCCAGACTCATACCACCTAGTGATTTATGGTTCCCTGACCAAGAGGGCTGCTCCTTGTCTTTGCCCCTGACTGGGGAGCCTTAGCGCTCTTCCTCACTTGACTCACCTACTTATCTTCAAGACTCCACTTGGGCATCACGTTCTCTGACCTCAGCAGAATCAGATTCTTCCTCTATGCTCCCCCAACATCCCTCTGTCACACTCCTCACCACCTGGGCTATGACTGTCACTGTAGGCTCTCACTAGATTGAGCTTCTTTAGGCCAGGGAATGCATCCTATTTCACAGCTCAGGGCCTAGTACAGAGTAGGTGCTCAGGAAGTCTTATTGGGCAATAAAATGATGTATCCAAATACTTACCATCATAAAGTTAATCAAACATATTTTTGTATCCTCCATGCCTGGCCGTATGCTAGGCACAGTAGGGTAGGCACAAAGACAAACAAGACTCATTTCCTGTCTGCAAGGAAATTTCGGGAGACAGACAAGTAAATGAGTGCATCCAAGTGTGATGGATACTGTGACGCTTCTATGTATGGGGTGCCTTAAGTGAGAAAACAAAGTAAAGAACTCTGGCAGGGGACTAAGAAATGTTTCATAGAAGATGTGAAGTTTGAGCTATTTTGAAAGCTGAATGGGGCTCACCAGCTGGATGAGGGTGGAAGATGGGGTGTAGAAGAGAGCATTCCAAGCAGATGAAATGCAGTCAGTCCAGGGAGAGTGCCGGGAGCCTCCTGGGAGACTGCAGGTTGAAAGCCTAAAGGGACAGTCTGAAGTTCTCCAGGTGTGGACTTCATCACTTGCTTATTGTTCTATGGACCATGTGGAGGCACTTTCTGGACTCCGAGAACCTCTGTGATAGTGTAGAAACAGCAAGGCCCACGATGACCCAACCTCCCTGTTTATTAAGCACTTATAGTTTGCTACAGTTTACAGGCCACCTTGAGGAGAAAAAAGTATACAACACACACACACATATTCATAATACACATAATACAAATATATACAACATACAATTCACACTTGTATATTATACAGATTACCCACCTACAAGCCCAAATATCTGTACTTCAGAAACTGTCAGAGAGTATAACTTTAAACTCTCCACTCCTCAATACTTAACACTTAGGATGTGAGATATACTTAGACTGGCTAAAAGCTAAGCAGTACATCTATTCTAGAGGAAGATTTCAAACTTTCAAACCTACAGGCAGGGAACTCTTTTTGTAAGGCAACTTTACCCTGGACCCCAATACATAAAATAAAAGCTCTTCTTTTATGCAAAGGTAGGTAGAGTTCTGCTTTGGGGCCACTGAGACATACCTGGGCCTCAAACGAGCGCAGAATATTTTAACCTTGGAAAAAGTCAGGACATCAATGAGCTACATACTTGAACGACATAGTTTTGTTCCTTCATACAATTACTTTTGTTGTGAATTGTGTTTTGGTGAGATGCATGAATTTGCATTGAGATAAACTGTAAGAACAGCATATAAATACTTAGTGCTAAAACGTGGTCACATTCAGCATACACAGTCTGCTCTACAGTTGACAATGAAGAGCAGTGCTTCTCTGGAATAATGGGTTTGTTTTTACACTAGGACACTCTGAACTATGTAACTGATTGTTTTCCCCTTGGCAATGGTTGCTAGGAAGCTCAAAGGCAACATTTTAGCCCAACTCTTGAGGTGTCCAAGAACTTATGACATAATACTTACTCATCCTAGCTTCCTCTTATTTTTCCCTCACCCATGTTTTCCCTTTGCTCCAATTTTCTCTTATTTATTTTTATTTTTGTACTGTGATGATTTTTATAAGACACCTCAAGTTTTTTGTGGAAGGAACTGGTTAAAAAAAAGAGTTTATAAATTTAAAATTTACTTACATATTCAATATAACAAATATATACATATCAAAAATGATGAGTTATCTAAAACTCACAGTATAAAGCCCATATGTACATCGCACAAATATAAAAACAGATCACATAGGTACATAATTCATAATTATAACACTAATGACATAAATACAAATACACTTATGCCCTCTGTTTATCCCACTCTCATGAGCATGTGTACACATGCACACGTGCACACACATGTGTCATCTACATACCAAGTTGCTCTGCCAGGAGCCGTCCCTTCTCAGTGGGAACAACCCTCTCTTCCTCCATGTCACACTTGTTCCCCACCAGAATAACTTGTGCATTGTCCCAGGAGTAGGTCTTGATCTGAGTAGCCCTAAAATGACATGGAAAGAGATGCGTTAATCATGTTCCTGTAGACTGAATGTCTGGTTCCCCACTCCAAATTTATATGTTGAAGCCTAATCCCCAATGTAATGGTATCTGGAGGTGGAGCCTTTGGGACGTCATTATGTCAATGAGGCTAGAGTTCTAATAAATGTGTCCATCTAAGAAGAGAAAGAGGGTAGAGCACTCTTTCTCTCTTGGCCATGGGAGGATACAAGAAGCCAGCTGTCTCCAGATACTGTAGCTGCTGGTGCCTTGATCTTGGACTTCCTAGCTCCAGAACTGTGAGAAAGAAATATCTGTCATTTGAGCCACCAAGTCTATAGTATTCTTGTTATAGCAATCCAAACTGACCAAGACACACACCCACCTATGACAAAAAGAAAACTGCAAAGTGTGAAGCAATGGTTTCTCTTCCACAGGACTAGCAACACCCAAGTTACTGCCAATTAATTCAACCGAGGACGTAGAGGTGCTTGCCCCTGCTGGCTGTTGCAGATGCTGACTCCTAAGCCCTGGCTGCAAACCTCACTCCTCTCTTTGAAGTCCACCTCTACCATATCTGGCCATCCCTCTTCTCACTAGGCAGAGAGCTCTTTCTAAAACAGGTATTTGATCACAATGTATCCTTTCTTAAAAGCCTTCTCTGGCCCCAAGCTAGCTATGTGATCAAGTCCAGATTCCTCAGTTCAAGTCCATTCATGCTGTCTTTCTCCAGCCTCATTACCCATTCTCCCACCTCCCAAACCTTTTTACTCATTCCCCAAAAGCTCTTCCATGGCTTGTGCCTTTGCCTACACTGGGAATTCCTTCCCCACACCTAACTCATCCTTCAGGGCCCAGTGCTGATTCCACAACTGGAGGAGAGCCTTCTCAAGCTCCCCTAGATCCACTTAGCCTCCACCTCCTCCTCTGTGATTCATAAACCTTCCCTGAAGTCTTAGATTATGATTATTTGCAGAAACCAAAATGTCAGCAGTGATTATCTTCACGTAAGATGATTATAAGACTTTTTAAAAATGCTTTTCAAATTTCCATACTTTTCACATTTTTGAAAGTGAGCAAGTATTCTATAATTAAAAACAAAATTTTAAGAGGAAATAAAACAGGACTCCCTTACATTATGGAGACATCTTTTTGTGGAGGTGGGCCTAACATTCCCCAAAGACCCCATCAGGTAGAAATGATTACCTCCTCTTTGCTGAATTTCTATCTCTCCCTGAGGGCAAGAACCAGCCTATTCATCTTTGGGATGCCAATACCCAGCAGAGAACGACAGAGTGGAGAAGGTGTCAGTGAATGTTTGATAAATGAATGAACCAGTGAACGGCTAGTCCTGATGCAGATCTTGAATCTGACCCTACCCTGACACTGACAATCTAACTCAACCCTAACTGCAACCTGAACCTGTTACTGACCCTGCTCCTAAAGCTGATTTCACCACCAACCTTCTCATTTATGGTGAGAAGTCATTCCCTCAAAGGATGTAATTCACTCAACCACCATTTGTTGTGGGCCCACAAGAAACCAGGCCCCATTCTGGACACTGGGGTTTGGATGGCAGGTAGGGGTGAAGCTGAGACCAAGTTGCCCACAGACAAAACTCAAAGGCTGGGGCTTGGGAGAGACAGACACTCAGTCTTCAGACTCAAGGCAGGCACCTGGGGCCAGCTCTCCTTGTCTCCTATGCTACTCTTTCTTTCATCATCCTCCCTCCTCCCACCCCATTTCCTCTCAGCTCCCAGATTAGCAACAAACTCAGGTTATTCTTGGAGGAATCATCACCAGGTGTTAAAGCCATTGTGTTCCTGAGGCAGAATGAATAGAGACTGAGGGAGGAAGGGAAGGGGGTCAAGGCCAACAGGGACTGGGCAGTGTGGAGACAATTCAGGGGAGATATGGTGAGAGAGAAGAGGAGGGGCAGGGAGAGGGAATGAAGGGAGGAAAATGATGAGTGGAGAGAGTAAAGGAAAGGGGAAGAGAACAGAGAGGAAAGAAAGGAGAAAGATCCAAGGCAGAGGGAAGAAAGAGTTGTTAAAAAGGAAGGGGCAGAAAGGAGGAAGAAGAGGAAAAGAGGCAGAAAAGGAGAACACAGACCCCCAAGGAATGACAGACATGCTGATGACACCCTGAACTGCTGGTCAGAACAGGGGAGTGCAGCAGGCAGCCCAGAAGGTCATTCTCAGCTCAAGCTGTGTATGTTAAGCCAGTGCAGCTTCACACAATTACAACTGCTCCTTGGGAAAAGTGAAGTCCTCGAAGGGTCACTATTAGGCAAAAGGGAGCAGAAGACAAGCCCAGCACTGGCCAGCACTGCTGCTGTGTGCCTAGCCTGCTCAGCCTCTCCAATTCTGAAGGACAGCCACCACACAGATGTCCCACTTTCCCCCATCCTCATCTGGGCAGGGACACTGGGTTTTGGCCCTCCCTCTCACGTGTCCTTCCCCTCAGGCTTCCTCTCCTGGGAATCGTGCCCCAGGAGGAAAGCTATATGTTGCTCAGAGGTTGCACCTCTGAGGTGCTGTACTGATTTCCATTGTGTATTGAGCCTTGATGAACTTGGACTATATGTGCTCCTGGACACCCAGCTCAGCCCAGGGATAAACTTCATAGAGAAGTGCTATGTGGATTCACTCTCCACTAGAGCTACTAGGGGAGTAATCTTCCTAAAACACAAATCTGAACCTGTTGGTTTCCAATTCGTATGTCATCATCTATGGGACAGAATCCAAACTCCTTATAGTGTCACACAAAATCCTTGATGACCTGTGCCCTTTAACACTCGCACCTACTTTCTCGCCTTTGCACATCTGTACCCTTTTTCTGGAACATCCTTATTCATTTGTCCCTCGGACTAACTCCTGTTAATCTTACAAAATGCAGCATTTGTGTCAGCAACTCAAGGGTACCTTCCCTGACTCCCCAAACTGGGTCAGAGAGCCCTCTGCTGGGTTCCCACAGCCCTGATGCCTCTCTTCACTGCGCCCAGCACAAGATATTTTCTTTTATCTTTTTTTTTTTTTGAGATAGAGTCTCACTTTGTCACCCAGGCTGGGGTGCAGTGGTGTGATCTCAGCTTACTGCAAGCTCTGCCTCCCAGGTTCAAGCAATTCTCCTGCCTTAGCCTCCTGAGTAGCTGGGATTACAGGTACATGTCTCTACACCTGGCTAATTTTTGTATTTTTAGTAGAGACGGGGTTTCGCCATGTTGGCCAGGCTGGTCTCGAACTCCTGACCTCAGGTGATCTGCCCACCTCAGCCTCCCAAAGTGCTGGGATTACAGGCGTGAGCCACCATGCCTGGGCTATCACATGATATTTTCATTCCTTCTTACTGATCTGTCTTCTCCTCTCATCTGTGAACTCCTGAGGGCAGGAGCCATGTCTGATTCATCTGGGCTTCCTTAGCACACAATCCAGGACCTCACAGCACATGTTAGGTTTTAATGAACAATTTGCTAAATGAATGAATGATGAATATAAGAGTCTCATACCAGTCTTGGACAGCATTGAAGGACTCCTCATTGGTGATGTCATACATCAGAATGAAGCCCATGGCCCCACGGTAATAGGCTGTCGTGATAGTCCGGTACCGCTCCTGCCCAGCTGTGTCCTGGGCAGGAAAAGGAAAGAAGCAATCTCTTAGAAAGTCTGCTTTGGTTCCCAAAAAGTCCCCAAAACAATTAACTAATAACCCAAGGCATATTTAAGGAGCATCTATTATGTGTCTTGTATTATGCTTGGTGACTAGAATGAAATGATTTTTTAAATCTCATAGAAATTAATAAGAATAATTAAAATCCTAATAGAAAAGTGGACAAGAGGCATGAACAAGTCACATAAGGAATGTTGAGTGGGCACTTATTAAATAAAAAGTTTTAACCTTATTTTTGTTTGGTTGTTTTTTTTTAAAGACAAAAGCCTTACTCTGTTGCCCAGTCTGAGTGCAGTCGCACCATCATAGCTCACTGCAATTTTGAACTTCTGGGTTCAAGCAATCTTCTCACCTCAGTCTCCAAGTAGCTGGGACTAAGGGTTTGTGCCATTGCTCCCAGCCCCCTTTTTAAAATAATAATGCCCATTATTGATAAGCATGCAGTGAAACATACAACTTCACATCTTGCTTGTGGGAATGGAACTTGGTTCGGCCTTTCTGGCAATCATTTTGAAAGTCTTAAGAGCATTAAAAATGTTCATACTCTTTAACCCAGAAATATTTCTTCTGGGAATTTCTCCTACAAAATTAGAAAAATGTTCCCCATAAAAATAGAAATTCAGACAAATATGTATATACAAAAACACATTTGTTACAACTTTAGACAGTAAAAATGTATCATCAACTTATATATTCAACAATAGGAGAATGATTAAAATATAAGAATTTTGATGTAAGTTCATGTATGTAAGAATATTCAATGACATGAGACAATGCTTATATGTGTGATATATTAGTTTTGTAACTATATGTGCAAAGAAAAAAACGGAAGAAACACATCAAAAGGTTAACAGAAATTATTTCTGAATAAGAGAAAAGAACTACTGAGATTTAAATTTTCTTCATGTAATTTTTTTTTTTTTTTTTTTTTGAGACAGGGTCTCACTCTGTTGCCTAGGCTGGAGTGCAGTGGAGCCATCTTGGCTCACTGCAACGTCCACCCCCTGGGCTCAAGCAATCCTCCCATGTTGGCCTCCTGAGTAACACACCACCATGCCCAGCTATTTTTTGTATTTTTAGTACAGACAATGTTTTGCCATGTTGCCCAGGCTGGTCTCAAACTCCAGAACACAAACAATCCACCACCTTGGCCTCCCACAGTACTAGGATTACAGGTGTGAACCACTGTGCCCGGACTTCTTTATGTGTTTTTCTTATCTTTATAATGTATTACTTTTTTTTTGTTTGTTTGTTTGTTTTGTATAGTGTCTCTTGCCTATGTATTACTCTTACAATAAGGAAAAATAAACAGTTTTTCAAAAAATGACTTTAAGACAATTCTTAGTCACAAGTAGCTCATAGCCTAGTTGGAAAGACAAATACATAAACAAGCAACAAAGACAAGACGAACAGCAAAGGGTCATTGGAGCACACTGGGATGCTTCCAAATTTTCCACATAGTCCTCATGTGAGGGACCAGCCATCTTCTCTGTATCATTACAGTTATGGAATGTGTCATCCTTAAGCAGGTATGAAACATTTCCTCACATATTATCTCATTTAAATTTTGTGAGATTCCAGTGAGGTAGGTGTCATTATTATTTACATTTTATAGTTGAGAATGCAAAATATGCAGAAAGGGTAAGTGACTTTCCCAAGGGCGAGGTCACAAAGCGGGTGACAAAAGCTAGGCCTTAAATCCAGGACTTTTTTTTAAAAGACAGGGTCTCACTCTGTCACTCAGGCTAGAGAACAGTGGCACAATCATCATAGCTCACCACAGCCTTGGACTCCTAGGCTCAAGTGATCCTCCCACCTCAGCCTCCCAAATAGCTAGGACTACAGGCACCCACAACTGTGCCAATTTTTTTTTTTGTTTTGTTTTGAGACAGGGTCTTGCTCTGTCATTCAGTCTGGAGTGCAATGGCAATGGTCACAGCTCCCTGTGGCCTCGAACCTCCAGGCTCAAGTGATCCTCCCACCTCAGCCTCCCAAATAGCTAGGACTATAGGCACCCACAACTGTGCCAATTTTTTTTTTGTTTTGTTTTGAGACAGGGTCTTGCTCTGTCATTCAGTCTGGAGTGCAATGGCAATGGTCACAGCTCCCTGTGGCCTCGAACCTCCAGGCTCAAGTGATCCTCCCACCTCAGCCTCCTGAGTAGCTGGAACCACAGGCACATACCACCATGCCTGGCTAATTTTTTTTTTTTTTTTTTTTTCTTTCGGTAGAGACAAGATCTTGCTATGTAGCCCAGGCTTGTCTGGAACACCTGAACTCAAGTGATCCTCCTGCCTCAACCTCTCAAAGTGCTGGGATTACAGGCATGAGCCACCACACCCAGCAAAATCCCAGGACTTCTTATTCTATGTCTAATGCAGGTACCACCACACCTCCATCAATGAAAGATTGATTTATTCACAACCATCTACTGAATAACATCTATAGTTATAATAAAAATAAATAATGAGAACAATAATTTCATTATGCCATTATTTTTACACAGGTTGCACCTGTTATCCACAAATGTTGGAAAACCCTGGAGAATATATGCTGTTACTCTAACTTACAGGTGAGGAAACTAAGATTCATGCATAACTAATCTGTCTCTCTCCTGCATCCATTACAAAATATTGCCTTACCTATGAACTATACTTAGTGTGATACTAACATGGAACAAGCACCACCCCTGCCCTCAGGAAGCCTCAGCAGAGTTGTGAAGGCAGCTAAGACATAACAGCAAATTGATAATTAGCAATGTGAGGCAAAATGTCATCAGCATCAGATAAGTGGTATAAAGAAAATGAGTTGGCTGGGCATGGTGGCTCCTGCCTGTAATCCCAGCACTCTGGGTGGCTGAGGTGGGTAGATCACTTGAGGTCAGGAGTTTGAGGCCAGCCTGACCAACATGGCAAATCCTGTCTCTACTAAAAATACAAAAGTTAGCCAGGCGTGGTGGTGTGCACCAGCTACTTGGGAGGCTAAGGCATGAGAATTGCTTGGACCTGGGAGGCAGAGGTTGCAGGGAGCTGAGATGGCACCACTGCATTCCAGCCTGGGTGAAAGAGTGAGACTCTGTCTCAAGAAACCAAACCAAAACAAAACAACCCCCCCACCCCAGAAAAAAAAAAAAAAGCAACAGAAAATGAGTCATACAGGTTCAGGTAAAGTAGAAACATGGTGGTTTGGGCTAGCTATGGAAGATGTCAAAGTGGAAATAATATATCCTTTAGGATAGGCTGGGTTCTTCAGGAACAAGCAATCCCAAATCTCAGTAGCTTAAACAACAATGTTTTATTTATTATTATTATTACATGTCCATTAAGGATTGGCTGAGTGTTCTGCTTTTTGTCATCTTTATTCAAGGATAAAGACTGACAGAGCAGCTGCCAGAGGGGAAGAAAGTATGTGAGTCATATATTGGCTCTTAAAACTTCCACTGTTCCCATTTTACTGGTCAAAGCAAGTCACATATCCACACCCAACTTTCAAGGGGTAAGAAAGTACAATACTATAACATGCTCAGGAAGAGAACTGGGACTATGTGGCAGACAGCATAATGATTCCCATGGGCAGAATCTTCACTGAGCCCAGGAGCATCACATGAAGATGTGCTTATTTGGCAATATAAGGAGAATAACTTTTCTATTTTTTTTTCCTACTATATAAAGTACATCTGAGCAGGACAACTTTTCTAAAGAAGAGCTTTCCAAGCAGAAAAGTAAAGGAAAGGTATTTTGGCAGAAGGGAGAGTTTTTGACAGTGAGTACTCCCAAAGAACTTAAGGAATGGTGGGAAATGGGACACAGGTAGGTGATGAAGCTAGAAAGAGCCCTGAATACTATGCTATGGGATATGGACTTTATCTTTTAAGATCAAAGATTTTGCACCAAGGGATTAACATAATTAGATCTGAGATTTAAAAATGATCACTCTGACAATGGTGTAGAGAATGGACTGGAAGAAGAGATAGGAGAAAGGAAGGCTGGTTAGAAGATCTTTGCAGTAGTACAGGTCAGACTAGACAAGAATTTGAGCTAGAGTGGTAGCAACAGGGATCGAGTAAGAACAGATTCACTGAAGTATTTAAAAGGTAAAATTATAGGGAATGGTGATAGATTACTTGTGAAGAGAAGAAAACAAAGATACCAGTTGTTTCTATCAGGGCTTGGCTTCTCCACGTCCTCAGCAATTCAGCTCTGGCCCAGACATGCATTACCTTACTCCATAAAACAAAACCTGCATCTAACATACTCACCCTCCTTAGAGAGCGTATGAATCACCATCTCCTGTTAATTGAGCAAGATCTTTGAGCATCTTACTCTCCATCTCAACCAGCTTATCAGAGTATTCCTTCTGACCACATACAGCAGTTGTCCCTATGATTTCTGGAAGATATCATTTTCTCCAGCTTATGAGTGAGTGGGAGGATAAATGAATAGATGAATGGATAAGTGAGTGAATGAATGAATGAGTTAATGAACATTTAACACTGGAAGTCTTAGGCATTATTGAAAGAAATCTGTCATATCCACACCAAAGCTCTGTGTGTTTGTGACTAAGAAACATTGCAGCAGTATTTGACCCACTCCTCCTTGCCTCTGCTTCCTGAGCTCCTTAGAGCCAATTCCAAAGAAGAGACCTTCCATCAATCTGTAGGTTCAGTCCCTAAATCCTGTTCTGCAGGATTTGGAATTAAGCCACTCTTCCTGGTCTAGAGGCCCAGACAGGATTTCTGAGCTCTTGCACTGCCACCAGGTCTCAGCTCTCCTCAGTCTCCCTACACTATGCCCTGTTATTCTGTGAGAGTGTCTAGTCTCACAGACACTCTGGAGCCTAGCCCTGTACCCAAGCTCTCCAACAGAAGAGTCTTGTCACCAAGCTGAATCCCAACTAATTGGAAATTCTGGTATATACTCATAAATGAGCTTGGACCTGGAGTCAGTTTTATCTCTGTA